ATCCTGGGTCCAGGATTCTTTCATTAATTATTTGGATAAGGAAGGATAGGGAATGCTTATATGCAGAACACAAACTGGGTGGGCTACCTAATATCCTGGAAGACATAAACAAAATTCAAGGTGATCTTGATAGGTTGGAGCGCTGGGCTGAAAACAACAGAATGAAATCCAACCAGGGCAAATGCCAAGTTCTGTACCTAGGAAAAAGAAACTAAATACATTGTTACAAGGTGGGGAATACTTGACTCAATAGTATTGTAAGAGGGATCTTGGAATTGTTGTAGATCACAAGCTGAATATGAGACAACTAAGTGATGTGACTGCAAAAGGGGCAAATGCTATTTTAGGCTGCATTAATAGAAGTATCGGTTAGGCCTCACCTGGAGTACTGTGTCCAGTTCTGGGCACCACAGTTTATGAAAGATGCAGACAAGCTGGAAAGGGTTCAGAGGAGGGGAACAAGGATGATCTAGGGAACATATGATTGCACTCTTCAAGTACTTGACAGGTTGTCACTAAGACAAAGGCCAGGATCCCTTGTTGATCATCCCAGAGTGCAGCACACAAAATAATGAGCTCAAGTTATAGAAAGCCAGGTTCTAGCTGAACATCAGGAATAACATCCTGACTGTTAGAGCAGTACAGCAGTGGAATGATTGACCTAGGCAGGTTGTGGGTTCTGCCACACTAGAGGAATTCAAGATAGCCATCTGAGAGGGATGGTTTAACTTGAGTTCTGCATTGAGCAGGGGTTGGACTTGATCCCCACCCCCTGCCCAACTTTACTATTCTGTGATTCTCTGGGAAAGGTCTATGGGCTTTATCTAGTTTTTGTCTAACACAGCATTCTGCAATCCAATGCCCTCTGAATGTTTTGGACTACAATTTCCAGGATTTCTAACCATTGGCTACCTTGCTTATGACTGATGGGAACTGAAGTCAAAACATCTGGAAACCACCATGTTAGGAAAGGCTGACCTAACATCAGTCCAATTCATTGTAATGGGTTTACTCTAAGTGGGACTAATGGATCAGTGGAACTAAAACTTTTTCTGAAGAATATATTAAAAGCCTCTATGTCTGCAGGGATCAAAATGGAATACTGAACTCTACCACATCCCTGCTTTCATAAAACCTTTTAAAACAACCAACCCTGAAAATGTGTATGTTGAAGTACGTAATGTTGGGATTGTAATATAACACTTCATATTTTCCAAGTGGTACATTTTAACAAACTGAATGAACTTTGGTTAAAACTAGGCAAGGCTAGTTCAGATTTTATCATGGCTTCTTCTTCACCTAAACTTTAGATTCAAAACTGTGCATTGTACTAGATACAATTTAAGAACACCTCTAATGGAAGGTTTTAGTGCCTCCTGCATGAGATAAGTTCATCTGGTTTTCTGTATTTCCAAAATAAAAATATCAAAAAGTGACAAAAAATGAAAATAGTTTTGATCATATTTTCAGAAAACATAAATGGTTGGGGCTTTGTTAATACTTTTCCAGTACTGAAGAACTTGGTTAGTTTTCTGATTCTTCTTGTCAGTTCAATGTAAAAAGAAATAAAACAATGCCAAATATGATTTACAGTACAATAAAGAAATCAAGAGGTTACAAACATAACTTTTATGTACCTCAGTACTTACCATTGAAGTACATGAAAGAAAAGATAGCCAAATTAAAAATAAAAATGCAAAATAGCCAATCAGCACTTTTCAAAGATACTGAGTAAGAAATTTTATTGCTTATCCCATTGATGGATCAGAACATTAGCAATCGTGAGGTCAAAGGCTGACTTTCTAATAGGATGGCATTTGGAAAGCTCTTTTACTTAACAATCTTCTGCAGTTCAGTAGCAAACCTGAACTAAGTCTCCACCTTTCGGGCAAAGCAAGGTGGCATTCTGGTAAATGCTAGAATTTTATCACTTCAACAAAGGAAGGGAAGAAATGATAGCCGAGTGAAACATTTGTGATCTCCAAAGAATGTGCTGCCACTGTAACAGCATAGATGAAAGAGGCTGCTGTCTCAATTGCCTGGAAACTACTTCAAAACTCACTTTGATCTCGTCTGATTGTCTGTTAACATTATTGCTAAATGCGGTACATAGAGATATCACTGTTTGGTGTTGTATAGATACAACATACAGGGATGAATATGGTAGAGTAATCATCCATTGCCATTTACTTATTTATAGCCTGAGGTCCATGTTCGCTAGCGAATCTATCTAAACTGGGCACATTTAAGTGGAGGCTTTTCCAGTAAGAGATGTGGCTAATGCATGGAAAAGATGCACAAATTGACAGCATCAACAGGGAATTTGGACATTACGGTGAGTAAAGTCCCCAGCAGAGTAGGGAGAAAGAGAAGAGGCAGAAAAGCTCACTTTCTTTCTCCACTTCAAGGGATGAAGTGGATACATAGCTGCAATCTTTAGTTTTCAGTGATTGAGAAATTGACAGGATCCTTCCCCTGCTTGGCTGGGAATTCCAGTTGTTGTAAGGAAACACATCTGGAAAGAACCAGGTTAGGGGAGAGGGTTGCGTAGATTAGCAATTATGTGGTGGTATCAAGAGCAGCTTATAGTTTATTAAGGGAAGTTTAATAATGACATTTATTATACCAGTCCCTGGATCTCTGATAAAGACCATGAGCTTGAACCATCTTCTCAGGGGCTTCAAAGCTTCTGAATTCCAGAATATGGTTTCAGAGGAGGTGTACAGCAAGTTACCAGTTTCCAACTTTGGGGGTAGCAGTCCAGACCTCTGGCATAAGGAAGGCCAACCACTGACCAAAGCGGTTCATTCTTCTAAAGGCCAACACTGGGGAAAGCAGGGTATCAACTCGAACTCTCTGCTGTCTGATTCTCCCCAATTCCCTGGGTCCACTGGTGTTCTCATTTCAGCTTCAGATTCTGTGCTTTTCTCTTTACCTGAGTCAGAATCTGCATCGACAGTCTTTGAAGATTCTCTGTCAGAGGAGTGGGCCCAATCCCTACACCGGGTTATTTGTCTCTCCAGGTTCCAGTGTCACATCAAATAGCCCAGGATCATAGGTTGTTTAGGAGAGCCGATGCAACCCAGAAGCAACTGGACTGCAGGAGGCAGTGCGTGCGTGTGCTGCTGGGTGGCCCTGATGAATTCTGGCTTGTTGAAACAACCCATATTTTGTTGTCACAACTGAACCACAGTTAAGTCATTACATGCAAACCAAGCAATTGAGTCACTCACCTTTTTGTTACCTAGTGAAGTGGATTTTTATTTTCCATTCAGCACTGCAGTTCCTCAGAAATAATCTGTTAGGGGCTATGTGGCAGCAGTGAGGGGCAGGAAGCAGAGATGAATGGGGCCTGAACTGAAAGTGAATGAGGCCACCCCCTCTTTTGCTCCTCCTCCTCCTCCTCTCCCCCCTGCCTCTGGACAATCTCCTTCTCTTGTTTCCAAGGGGATATACTTTGATTCACAGCCAGGAATTAGGTTGGATGATCTTCTAGATTCTGTACATTTAATATATCCTGATACTATTTCGGTTCATACCACCAGACTAAGGTGATAAGCATTAATAGTTACATTATTTATAAGATCAGAACTGTAACACTCTGGTTTTTCCAGGCTTCATACATGCTGTCAAAATACTGCAAGGTTTCAGCAACAGAATCTGGCTTATTTGAATTATATAACTCAGCCTATCTCTTACCTACATTTTCAATGCCTCTTTTTCTTTTACTGAATTACTAAGAAAAGTGTTACTCATATACTTAAAAATTAGAAGCCCTTAGCGAACAAAGAAATTTAAATAAAGCATTGGTTGAGTTTTACAGTTAAATAACCTGTGGAGGAAATTATAATGATGCTCTCTATAATTGTTCTGGAGGAAGAGAGAGAAAGAGAAAGGGGGGGGAAAGCTTAAATCTATGGAAGGCATAACAGACCTAATTAATGCTCACACTGTTCCTCCAGAGAAACAGATTTTATGTAATGTAAATGGGCTGCATAGGAAATGTTCTTGTGCATATTTTATACTTATTCCTTGTTTCTTTCTGCACAGCTGTAATATACAGTAATTCAAAGGGTGAAGTGTACTCACCCCCACCAAACAGCAGCTTGTAACACCATAGGTGACACTAGGAATAAAAGTTTGATAATGTTACCGAGGATTTTATCAGTTCTGGTCTTGCACATTGTGTGAACTAGTTTTAGATGGCATGGGTGTGCTTCATACCCATTTTTCCCTTGGAGTAAGTTGACCATGTCGCATAGAACAGAACCTGCCTTGTTTATGAATGTTGCAGCCCGTTACTAGTAATCCGCACAGAAACCAGGTACAGTAGATGATGGTATCCTAGTTTCAGAGGCTGCATCTTATTTTCCGTTCAAGTCTTGCATAAGCATGTAGGGAAAGAACTGCGAATAGTAAAAGGTGTGATGACCAATGCTGGCCTTTGAGTTACTTTATTCCAGAAAGGTAGTTTTATGTTACAGGTCAATCCAAAAAAATTTATAAGAGTCACATTCCATTTATTTCACTGGAACTTACTTATAAGTGTGTATGTCCAGATGTATTTATTCTTGTAATAATAATGATGAAAACTGAGAATACTCAAAGAACATTAGGCTTAACCTGAACTTTAAGAACATTAATCATGGCTTAATCTGAAGCTGTGGAATTTGACAACTGGTCTACTTGCCTATACATTCTCTCTCTTTCACACACACACACACACACACACACACGTGTAAAATTGTTCACTGTCCAACAGTTTTATTTCAACATGTTCCTGTGCATGGATTGATTGATTTAGATCTGAGTTTTATTATAGAAAGCAGTATACAAATCTCTTAAAGCAATGATGATGATCGTTAAAGCAATGGATGCTTTAGAAAACCACAGATTCTGAGCAGCACTCATCTTTAATCCTGCAAGATCTGAACATCTATCTCTAACATCAGTCAGTACAAATTTCCATAGAAACTAAGTTTATATTTTCTCTATCGTAGGTGTGCAGTGCCATACAGAATCAAGACTTTACCGTGATTAAAGATTACTGCACTGGGCTAAGGGCTTTGCTTTACCTGCAGAGCATAGAGGAACTCCAAGACTGGGATGGACAAAGTCCACCAACTATCAGGCATCAGAAAGGAAAGCCTGTGCCAAAAATTGCTGACCTGATGGGAAAGGTATGTTGCATGGACAGCTTTCTCAGACATTGGCTGTGCTTGATACTGGCTGTTTTGTTTTATTATCCATTCATTTCCTTGCAAGAGTTTTATACCATTTTCCAGTAGAAAACACTGTTTTGTTTGTTTGTTTATTACATTTATATCCCATCTTTTTCTTCAGGCAGGGAACCCAATGCAGCTTAAATTATCCTTTCCTCCAGGTTATCCTTACAACAACCCTGTGAGGTAGGTGAGGCTGAAAATCATTGACTGACCCAGTCATTCTGTGAGCTTCATAGCTGAGTGAGACTCTCTCAGGTACACCTGGATCTCTCGAGTCCCGGTCGAGCAGCCTAATCACTGTATCTATCTATCTATCTATCTAGCCTTATATATAGACTTTAAACTGGCTATATATCTTTTGATATACCTTTTATTATAGTAAGTGGCTTGTGGATGGATTAAAATCAAAGTTACCCATGATCTAATATAATATTCAGTGCTGGAGAAGATGGGAAGGAAATTCCAAACCTAGTCTGAAACCAGTATGGGCCAGTGCCAGTGCTTCACAGAGGAGTGGAAAAGCTTTGGATTCATCAGGAACACCCCTGGGAATAGGGTTACAGCACAGGACCTACCCATGAGTGTGAATGGGCCCTCCCTATTCTCCAGCCAATGGAAGGTCTGCCTGCAGAGGGTCACCCCCTACCAGCCACCTCCAGCAAAGTGGATCTGCTCCCAATTAGAGATACTTTTTACAAAGCAAAATAAAATACATGGAATACTCAGGACAATAACTTAGGCTGGTGCAATCTAAAATAACCAAACAATTAACTAGTCTTTGGTTCACTTTCAAGACTTGGAGGTAACAGTGCTGATAACACACTTGAAGGTGGTTTGCTTGCAGCGGAATCAAGATGCTGCGGAACTGAAATAAAACTGCTTGAGCAGTTCTACCATCATGAAATGTCCCACCATCAAGCATTACTGCTGCTAAAAATTGCAATAAGGCCCAACAGGCTTTTGATGATAATGATTGAAATGGACACAGATTCATGGGAACTGACTTCACACAAGTGGCTCATCTCATGGAGCGAAGCCCACACAGATGCATTTTGAGGCAGAGCCATGTCCTCAAGTTCTCATAGGATTCGGGCCCCTAGTGTCTACCTGATGTTACAGACAATTGGGGATAGTTGAATACAACTGCTTTTGTTAAGAAATTAACAGGTCTAGGTTCCTTACACCTTTCAAGGTACCAGTTCCAGCACTCGGACCAAGGCGCTATTTAAAATGTGGAACTACTGGTGTGTACCTGATAGTTTCAGGTGCTTGTGCATGTCCTGTTATGCTCAACTCGGAACCATAGGTCTTTTGTAGGAGACCTGTTTCCCAGGGGAATGGGAAAGAGAAGGATACTTGCTTATTCCTAGAGATTATGATATTGCTGTTCAAAGGCTCTCAGCAACTAAATTCCAGACATACTGAAAGGTAGTAGTCAAACTTGCTCTTGCTTGCACAACACTTCCACACTTGGTACAGCAACTTAGTTTAAATTTCTAGGCAAAGCAGTTTTCCTGGTGGCCCTCACTTTATTTTTCCAGAAGACAGGTTGCTGTTTGGTGGGTCTCTCTGGCTCAGAAACTAGCACTTTTCTCAAGTGCAAATAAGTACTTTTGGATCATTCGGCAAGGTAGCAGAATGCACTCATAAGGTGCTTAAGGAGCAACAGATACAAGGATCAGAACTTTTCCAGAAACTGAAGTTATTGAGAAAATACAACAAAAAGGCAATTTTTAAAGCTTAATCGCTGAAAGCTTTCTCCAACTCAAGAGGGAAAGACCATGGGGTGGGGAGTTATTTTACAAAAGAAGCTGCATGATGGATTGCTTTGCCTTCCAGGGCAAAGGAGGGAACTTAGTGATGGGAACTGAAAAGCAGGGAGTTCTGGATCAGTCAGGCTGAGTTTATCTTAGCAGGACCTCAGGAATTCAGGAACCTCCAAAATATAAGCAGAGTATCTGCGAGCAAAATGAACCAAGCATGCACGGAGGAAACTCAGGAAGGAGAATCCTGGAGACTCAATGAAGCCTCATTTGGAAAATTTGCTGACTTCAAGGAGCCCATGGCAGTTGCTGCTTTTGATGACAAAGGCTCACAGAAGAGTAGGATGGTCTTAACAGGGCAATTTCCACATGAAGACAAATAATTTCCAAACAAAGGAAGGGACTCTAGCTTTTAGGTGGAATGTAATGTCTTTCTTGTAAATGGCACTTCAAACCTCTGAGGTTTCCAGTTGATAGGTAATAACATAACTCAGGTGCAAAATAACTCCGCCAGAGCCATTGGCAGTCACCATAGACTAGAGTAGATGATCCCTTCCAGAGCACATGCGATACAGCAATTTAAATGTGTTAGAAAACCCATTTCTCACCGTAGCCCTCGCCACAGGAAAGTTACTCTTTCCCTCATATCAGGAGCTTGGTAACCATTTTAACAACAGATTAATAATAGTTTCCAAGGACATTCTTCATCATGTCCTACCTTACCCCACCAGTTCCTAGCCTCTACAGCCAAGCTGTTACAATGGCGGAAGGAAATGCCTGGCTGAATACTCAGATCATAGAATAGGCAGTAGAATCTGGAGTGAAAAATGGGCACAGGCCCACTTCTAACTACAGGCTTGAGTGGCGGACACCATCTGTGAATGTCTACACATGTTTACAAAACAAAACAAATCCAACAAGCACAGCCTTCTCCAACCTGGTGGCCTTCAGAGGCATTTGGACCGCAACTACCAGAATTCCCATCCAGCTGGGCCATTGACTGGGGAGTTCTGGGTGTTGCAGTCCAACCATGTTTGGAAGGCACAAAGTTGGGGAAGGCGGAACTAGCACATTAAGGAGAAAGAGGCTAGCTGAGCCCTCTCCCAAGGGTACAAGCTTTCTACTTGCGGATATTTATTTGTTTTTGCTTTTGTTTTCATTCAGCCTAACATGACACATTTTAGAAGGTATTTGCAGTCCATTTTCAAGGCCATGATGAACTGTAGGAATGAAGGCAGCACTTTGGATATCGCTGAAATCAAGCTATTGAGCACCGTGTAGTTCAGATATGGGTTTGACTTTATTAAAGGCAGGACCTGGTTTCCTCGTAGCCCCCTTATTAGTAAGTTTATTAATGACTTTGAAAATGTCATACTAATTAAACAGATTTAGAGTCATATACTTACGATTCAAACGTTGAGTCCCATTCGCCAGAGGATGCCCACTCCCCTTTTCACTAACCTGGTGGTGCTGAGTACCCACTGAGAAATGCTCCATAGCCATGTCGGAATTCTCTCCACGTAGCTGCCATGCTTAAGCATTCCCAATTTGCAACAGGGTTCCTCGGGGACTGTTGCCAGCTGGAATAAGTTACAGCAGGCTCAGGGTGACTTTTGCTTTCAACGAGGAGAGCCATGGTCAGAACTGGCTTTTAATTTGCTCCCCGGCGGCTATTGCCTCCCCTATTCCACAGAGTAGATTTTCAGCAGAAAACCTAGGCTTTTGTTTCCGGCTTCTGGAAGAGATTTACTTTGAACAGTGCTTTCAGTTATACATCATGCCTATTGATTATCCTTCGAAAAATCTAATATAACATGGTTGAAAATGTTGTATAAAGCCAAGATTTACAAAAGAATAGGATTTGGCATGTCAGATACTTCCAAATCTCTGCTTATCATTGCCGAAGTCTGGAGTTCTTTTCAGTGAAAGGTTAGAGGAGGTTTCTTTGTTCTCAGTGAAGCTCAGAAAATTATAACATTACCTTTTCGTTGTAAAGACAATCCTATCACTAAGCTCTGGAGAATACAGTATTTCTGGGATTCTTTTTGTTAAAAAAAAAATAAGTGGTTTTTGTTTCAACTACTAAGGCTGTGCAGTTAAACTCAGGTTCAAGAGGGTAGCACTAACTTTCTTCTCTCCCCCTCTGATGCCCCTCCTCTGGTGTATTTTCATAGAAACATGCACCTCATTTACATTTGCCTAATATGGTGTTCTACAGAAGCATCGAGACTTTCATATTTCGTAGTACTTTTGTATTATGCTAAATAGCCATTGTCAGCAGATACTGTTCACCCCATTTGGAACGGTAAGGGAGAGAAATGGCAATTCATTCAATTCTCAGCTTGTCACTGTATCAATAAGGAATTCTTTCTGAAGGTATTTTGTTAAGAGCCACTTAAACATTTAATAATCCCAAGGAATTTTAAGTTGAAATTGATGACATAAAAAACATGAAAGGTATGTTTTGCATGGGAGAGGCGAAGTCAACACATATCTAAGATAGCTTAGTTGAATGTGTTAGAAATGTAAAAGGAGTGGAAGATTAAAAGACTTTGAGCAATAGTTCAGTGCATTAATTTGTTTTAATTACATGCAACACTCAAGGATTTAGCAGATAGAGCAGAACAAAACAGGAAAGTGGGAAGGGGGCTATAAGGCCATCGAGTCCAAACCCCTGCCCCCTATCTACATGTGGTCTTCCACCGCCATCTTAATATATAGCTATGCAGGCAAGGCAATTTTTATTTAATATATAATATTAATATTATAAATTAATATATTAGTTTTACCATATCTTAGGTAGATAAACATATAGATAGATTATATAATAATTTATAAAAGCATATTGTTTATGATTTATGGACTTCCCACCACCCAGGCCAAATCATTGCAATTCAGTTCACAGATACAGCTTTATTCTGTTTTGTCACTTTTACTTATTACACTGTTATCCTGCCCTTTCCCAGGAATGTAGGATTGTAGCCTCCATCACCCCTGTCTTTCCACAGGAAGGAAGGAATCAGCTGTAATCCAGAAAAGGCAAAGCACTCCCTCTATGCACCTGAATACCAGGAAGCAGCTGGGATTAGTGAGAGGATGCTAAGCACTCCTGTTCACCTTTTGGGCTTCCTGTGCACACCTGATTGGCCACTGGGGGATACAGGGCTGCAACAGGTCTTCCTGTGCTCTTAT